GAGCGAAATAGACTGATATGTATATTTTATTTTTAATTGATAAGTACATTGTTTTTGTTAATGATAGACCATGCATTTGAAAGAACAGAAGATAAGCTTTTGAATAAAGCTTGAAAGGCAAGTCAACAGACATTTTTTTAATTTTTCAAAATGCTACGCGTTTTTGAGCAATAACTATTAGACGTCAGGCTTGACCAACATAAAACTATAACAAGCCTGTAACGTCTAATCTATTGGACTACAGTGAAATAGGCAATCGCGGTTATCTTTACTCGCAATTCTACTGATAAGAAAAGCTTGTCTGCTGCTAGTTCTGAAACTGTCAATCCGTGTTTTATAAATAATTACAATAATAACAATAAAAAGTGATAACTCAAACCTAAATATTAATAATTAAAAAGTGGGCCGAGTTGACCCGTGCCGAGTTGGAATAGGGCCGAGCTGACTCGGGGGCCGAGTATGTTTTAGTGCCGAGCTGACCCGGATTCCTTTTTTAACCCACTTCCCAATTCATAGGCTTTGCCTAACTTCATATTAGTAATACGCCGCTGACTTTCTATTTGTTGGTAATCATGACTGTGAATAATTGTACATTATTTTACGCATGAAAGAGTTTAATATGAAAAAGGCAAAGCCTCAAAGCGAGCTCGATGTACTTTTTACGTGAAATAGTATGAAATAATCGCTCATTTTTATTTCAAATGCAGTGACGAGTGCGTGTGACGTCACACGTACTACGTACTGTGTTAAATATGGCTCCACTCCTGTCGTGTAATGAATAACGAGTTTTGAAAACGTTGATAAAACTTTGTTTATTTTATTTCACTCTATATTTTTTCAAGCGAAATAAAGATTATTTAAAGTGAAATAAATGTAAAACTTAAAACGTTTGCGACATTAAAATAGCGTACTTGATTTGTTTGTTTTGCACGTGCTGTTTGGCGCTACATTGTGACGTCACGTAAACAATACTTTAAACGTCTGTACAGCGTTAACGACTGAATAAAAGATATTGGTGTTCGGATTCATTTTCTTAGTTAGACCATTTTCTTTCATTCTAGATAGTTTTCACAACAAAATTCGACAAAAAATTGTTTTTATTTATCAGATTTCAAACAAAATGGCGCCTTCGATTTTCATTTTTTATACACAGCTTCCGTTATTCTGGTTCCCTGTCCAATTATGGTTCCCATAGACGTGCGCGGGTGACCAGTCTACACATCGGTTTTCAGTCAGAATTCCTCAGTTTTGATCGTTAGCTTTAAATTCGAAAGGTTGCGATGTGTCCAATTCGATACTTTGGACGAAAGTTTTCAAAACCATCACTTAGCAGGTACTCGCGTTACCGTAAAGCTCGCTTTGCGAGCAGGCCCTTCGGGCCAGCTCGTCGAGCTCGCTATTAACTAAACAATCTATATCCTAATAGGCTTTTAACAGGGCCTTGTTGACCCATTGCCGAGTTATTTACATGTATAAGGTTGACTTGTCCCTTTACCATTGACAGGTATGTGGAAAAGCATGTGTCAATGTTGTCAGCTAAAATCATACACAACCTACGTCATTAACATTTGCAAAACCATCACATCATCATCAAATTGATCGTTTATTGAATTTGAACACGATGGATAATTTCAATTCATCTAATCATAACAATTATACAACTAATTTAACTATAAGCAATTTTTTACCTTTCGTGTCTCCAGTCTCCGCGCTCATAGCAACAGCAGGACCTTAACTATTCTTTAGAAACTAAGAAAAACGTTATATATTTTCAAGGAAATTGGCTTTGTTTTCTCATAACATGGCTGCTAAATGCATAAATTTGAAAGTCTCGTTAAATCTCGTTTACTAACACGAGACCATAAAACACGAACATTTCCGAATACTTAGAAGAAAACAAGACAAAAACTTTCATTGGTTACCCTTTGTAAAGCGGTATGCCTAAAATACGAAAGTGAGAATTTTGACGAAAGTGAGCGAAAGTGAGCGAAAGTGACTTTTAAAATAGTAATTATAACATTTTAATAGACTTTTAAAACAAACTTGCAGTTTGTAGACGTATATTATTAGAAAATAATTATATTTATTAACAGAAATAATCATAATGATGATTTAATCGCTACTAATTTGCATAATTTCTATACACAAGTTCTTATATCTTCCTTTCGCTCACATTGAATAATACGAAAGTGACTTATAAAATATTAAATATTCTATTTTAATTGAATTTTTTACTAAAATTACAATTTGTAGATGTATATTATCAGAACTTGATGATACCTATTTTTTTAAAATAATCATTATGATGATTTAATCGCTATTTATTTGCATTATTTTTATACACAAGTTCAGATATCTTCCTTCGCTCAGATTGAAAAAATACGAAAGTGACTACAAAATATCAAATATAGCGATTAATTTCAATCTATATTAATATAACAGATTGTAGACGTATAGTTTTGGAATTTGATAATATCTATTTTTAAAAATTATCATTATGATGATTTAATCGCCATTTATTTGCATAATTTCTATACACAAGTTCAGAAATCTTCCTTTCGCTCACATTGAAAAATACTTAAGTGACATATAAAATATTAAATATACTGGTTAAGTTGATTTTTTACTAAAATTGCTCTAAGTAGACGTATATTATCAGAAATTGATAATATTCATTTTCAAAAATAATCATTATATATGATGATTTAATCGCTATTTATTTGCATAATTTCTATACACAACTACATAGATCTACATAGTGACTTATAAAACATTCAATATACCGTTTATTTTGAATTTATATTAATATAACAGTTTGTAGACGCATAGTTTCAGAAATGAATAAAAAATACTTAAAAATCATTATGAGGTTTTAATATTCATGCATTTTCATTATTTCTATATAGCAATATCAGAGATCTTACTTTCGCTCACTTTCGTATTTTCAATGTTAGGGAGAGGAAGCGAAAGTGATTTTAAAAATATCAAATATAGCGTTTAAATTGCATTTAATATTAATAATGCAGTTTGTAGACGTATATTATCAAAACTAGTATCTTTAATCAATATGATTTGATCTTCATTTATTAGCATAATATTTATACACAGGCTAAGACATTGATCTTCCTTTCACTTACTGTGAGCCTGACGGAAAAGTGACTTACAGAATATCAAATATAGCGTTGAAATAGAATTTCATGATAATATTGCAGTTTGTAGACGTATGTTATAAGCTATAGTAACTATCATTTTTATAAAACTAAATATGTTAAGATGAATATGTAAACTATAATTGGCAAAAACATGAATTATACAATTTATGCGTAATTAAGGGCATCGATTTACAGTTCTCTATTTCTTACATCGTCTTTTTCGGGCAGTTTTAAATTTTTGATTAAAGATGGTGTTACCTATATTCTGTTAATATTCTGTTTACATATTATATTGTAATTATACTGTTTGATTCTAATCTAACAGAAATAGGTCTTGAATGTGTTTCTCATTATTATAATGTCTCTTGAAATTATTAAATGGAATGGTCTTATGTAGGTTTTATGTTGAATAGTTGTATATATGTTTAAAAATGCATGTATACGAATGAGACAAAATAAAGTATGAATATGTTTACATGCAAACACGTGTTGTCATATCATTTTCGCATCCACTTTAATTGATAGTACACACGGCGGTGACTGCATGACGCTTTAATCCCACTAAAGTATTATTATAATCCAATCATAGGTATGTAACTGATGACACTTGCCCGGTTGTTTATTGAGTGGACAATTGAATTAACCTTTCTTCTGCACAACCATAGATATCTTGCACGGATTAAAGTGGCAGTTATTATGCTCATCCAGGTGTAGATGAGCAATGAACATGTTAATTTGAAAAATAATTTGGAATTTCCCATCATTGTTAAAATAATATTTCACTATGGAAAAAAGGAAATAAGTAATCCACGGAATTTTTTATAAATATCGTACTATATATATCGGTAAAGTTCAATCTTTTTATAAGTTAGGATTTTTTTTATATTTTGTGCTAGTCATTTTCATCATCAGTTATAGGTCAATCACCATGAAAACATGAATAATAATGAAAATGACTCATTTATTTTTTTATTATAAAAAACATTAATAATCGTGAATATTGACATTGACTTTCGTCCGATTAAGTCACTTTCGTATTGTTCAATGTGGGCAAAAGTAAGATATCAGAACAGGTATACAGCAATTATGAAAATACATGGATATTAAATCATCATAATGATTATTTTTTTTTAATATATTTTAATCATTTCTGAAAACACGCGTCTTTCAGCGCTATATTTGACATTTTTGAAGTCACTTTCGTATTTTTCAATGTCAGGGAAAGGAAGATCTTTTAACTTGTGTAATGCAAATAAAGGGCGGTTATATCATCATAATGATTATTTTTAAAAATAAATATAATTGACTTCTGATATTGTACGTCTACAAAATAATTGCAATTTTAGTAATACATTCAATTTAAACAGTATATTTGATATTTTGTATGCCACTTTCGTATTTTTCAATGCGAGCGAAAGGAAGATCTCTGTATATAACTTGTGTATAGAGATTATGCAAAATAAATGGCGATTTAATCATCATAATGATTATCTTTGAAAGTAAATATAATCATTTTCTGATATTATACGTCCAATTTGTGTAATAATGGTAAAAATAATTTCAATTTAAACGGTATATTTTATAAGTCACTTTCGTATTTTTCAATGTAAGCAAAAGGAAGATATAAGAATTTGTGTATATAAATTATGCAAATAAAAACCGAATAAATCATTATTATGATTATTTTTTATAATAAATATAAGTAATTTCTAATAATATACGTCTGTAAACTGCAATTTTATTGTAAAAGTCTATTAAAACGTTACAATTAATATTTTAAAAGTCACTTTCGCTCACTTTCGCTCACTTTCGTCAAAAATCTCACTTTCGTATTTTAGGCAAACCCTTTGTAAAGATAACCAATAGAAAACCACCTTATTTACAACCGGACTGTCACATTTGACAAGACACCACCACGTCTGGACCAGCAAAACCAACAAATTATGGCTCAATATAGGCAACAAAAAAGATTTTCTGACAACGAAAAGGGGTGCGTCTTTTTTCTATTTAAGTTCTTTTCGTGACACGCAGTCATCTTAATATGCCGCTGTTACCCAGTCATTTTAAATAAGTACTGATACAGGAATTTTGGCCTGGGGCTACTGTACCAGGCTATAACTAGTCCAATATATTAGACGTTACATGCTTGTTATAGAAAAAATTGTTTGCTACACGTTTTTGCAGTGATCTGTTAAGACCTAACGTAACATGGAAAATGAAAAATATCAGATTAATGAATGATAAATATGAAATAGGTTACGTATATAGGTCTTATGCATTACAGTCAACCCGGCCCCAAGTTTACCCGGCCCCAAGTCAACCCGGCCTCAAAATTGGTCAATCCGGCCCCACAGTATTTTTATTTGGTCAATGCGGCCCCAAAATCGGTCATTCCGGCCCCAAAATATATATTTTTCAAAGAAAACTATTTAATTCATCTTGTTGTATGATGAAATAAAAATGATTTATTGATTCCCAGCAAACACCCGACGTTGACCCAACGTTGGATCAACGTTGAATTTTGGTCGCGACGTCGGTGACCTTCATACAACGTCAAATCGACGTTGAATCCCCGACGTCAAACAGACGTTTCATTTTGACATCGACTCGACGTCGGGTTTTGGTCGGTAATCTGACAATAGGTTAATTTAATTTATGAAACCAATATATATATAAATGAAAGCATAAACAGCGAGAATTTTAAGTTTAAGTTTAGAAAGGGAACATTATATATTTATTTTCTCCATCAAAACAACAGTATCACGTGGGTGGCTAACGTACGATATTCAATAGGTGGCGCTCTGTAAACGGATGGTCGCAGATCAGTATGAAATATATTTGCTCTATTTTCGTTTAAATAATATCTTATTGCCTCGAATTAGTCTAAGAAGTGTTTATATAATTTACAATGAAGCTGTTATCATTTTTGAGGGCTTCATTTTATAGTGGTAAATAATTTAGTAAATTCGAATTTGCGACTTATCGGATTTGAAATTCAATTGTATTGGCGGACAAAAAAACGACGGGTTGACAGACAAAGTTGTATAATCCAAACAAAAGAAAAAGGTAGGCAAACATTATATATTGTTTTCTATGCTAATTTACCGCATGTTTGCATGCATGGATTCGATGGTTATTTGATCATTGAAATGTTTGACTGGTAAAACTTAATGTAACGTGATTTCGCGAGATAAATATTTTTGTTTCCACGTAAGAACACTTTATCATTTGCTATAGAACAGTCTGTATAATCGGATCATTTTTCCCACACTATATCGCCATGCCAAATAAATGCACAATCAATGGTAGGAAATATCCTAGCAATTGAAATCAATAAAAAGTCAAATGCAGTACGTAAGACTCTTATTAATATTATTCAAATGCTGGTAAATAAAATTTCCTCTTATTTCTTATCAACATGAATTTCCCTTATATGAGGGGCCAGTCATTTACACATGTATCAGATGCAGTTTGATTTTGATATCTGTGTAGTTGTTAAACTACTCGTTGTTAATTGAAATAATTTACCCATACTGTTAGCATACCATGTGTTTCTTATATTATGATAATGATTCATGGCATTTGATACATATGTAATACGACTAAGATATAAGATATATCTGAAAGCACATTGTATTTGACTAGCTATCTTTTTATTAATGTAATCAAACAACATATTATCAATCAGAAAACACATTATCATAGTAATAAATCAATAAAAGTAATAGTTTGCTAATTAGCCTGCTTATCAACAAGTTGTATGCTCGTATCATAAAACATTTTTACACTAAGCCAGTCTGTCCTATATATATACACTAAGCAGACCAGATCATGCTGGGCAGAGATGATATCTATAAAAATGACAGTAACATGTGAATTTCTTTGATGTTGTATGAGCATTTGTACAAAGTACATTGAATATAAAAAAATAACAATATCAATTTTTGCGGGAGTAGAATTAATTTCATTTTGGTATTTGTTATATCAGTTTTTCATGAGCTTATGAGTTAACTAAGATTAATAGTAATTGGATTTTGCCTATTGTATTAGACAAACATCCTTCCACCACATGGTTAAATTCTAAAACGATTATATTTCGTCTTTCAGATTGTGAAAATTATGATAATTCAACATGTGTCAAAAGTTCATGAGGAAGATGAAAATATTTAGAGGAAAAGAAAAATGAAAACCTACCAAGATTTTGTGACAGGTATATTTCAAAATACTGTAGAAAATACAGTGATCTTATTACCCTTGATTTTATAATGAAATTCACGAAGCCATTTTTATCAAAATTAATAGATATATACAGTAGGTACACGAAACTACATGGTTTAAACTAAATTAAAAATAATTAGTATCTTTTTAAGTAGCTGGAGAGTTTTGTTAGAATTTCGTTTAATTATAATATGTATAAGTGATTTATTTCTTGCACTTGTAACTGATTATTTTATTTTTTTTTAATTTCAGAAAGTGTGATGAGATCTCAGGTTGGAGACGGTAATGATACGCTTAAAGTATGCCCCAGATCGACATAGTGGAGGAGGACGAAAGAAGCTAGAATACTAATGAAGATACATGAACATTGCTATTTATAGTTATAACAAAATATTCAGAATATTGTTCCATTTAACATTCAGATCTAGATTCAGTTATAAAATACAAAGACAAATATACAATCAGTGAGTTGGATAGATGATTGAAAAATCCCAAACTCAGAGTGATCAGTTCAGTGGTGATATAAGAAAAACACATGCATGGATGTTTGCTATATAAAATGTCAGTGTTAATATTCAAGAAGGTTTTTGTTTATCTTATTTCTAAAACATGCTTAATTAATACATGAAGCGTTATTAAAGTACATACCGTCAAGTTTAATAGTTTCAAAAAATATTATGTAAATCTTGCATTTGTTATAGTACTACATTTCTTGTTTTGTACTTGTGATTCCGAGTATAAAATAAATTGCTAAAATCATAAGAATGCTTATTTATTAACCCTATTAAAGAGCTTCAAAATGAAAAAAAATTATATTCCAAAAGTTTTAAATGAGGTTAAGTCATGGTCAGAAAATTTGGTCAGATAAGGTTGGCATATGGTCAGATAATGGTCAGAAAAGGTTGGATTATGGTCAGAAAAAGGTTGGATTATGTCCAAATAATGGTCAGAAAAGGTTGGATTACGGTCAGATAATGGTCAGAAAAGGTTGGATTATGGTCAGAAAAGGTTGGATAAAGGTCATTTTATGACGTTATATAGACGTCGGTTTCTGACGTCTAAAAAACTTTCAAATCCAACCTTCTGCCAACGTTTACCCAACGTCAGGGTCTAACGTCAGTACAACGTTGGTACAACGTCTTTTGTTTGCTGGGTTGAAGATTATTAACTATAGAACAATAGTAAAAAAAACATGAACTGGCATAAAAGTGTCGGTAAATTTAATTGCACCGATTAAGACTTTAATACACAATAGTGATAATGAATAATTAACATCAACAATTATAATGTACATCAACATTAATTCAGATGTAATAATCAAACAGTTTAAAGCAATCAATTAACAAAAAGGTATAGCTGTGAAAACAAATCCTTAAAATACAATACAATACAGTTTATTTGCGATGTATCTCTAAAAAGAGTATTAAAATGGTTATATAAGTCATTCACTGTTAGTGTTTGTGATTGTGATGATTTACTTTTACATGTATTATTCAAGGTTTGCCAGAAATTTTTAGGATTATTCTTAACTAGTTTCTGTAGTCTTTTTCCTTCATTTATTTTAAATCTATTTTGAGCATTCTTCTTAACTTTATTATATTTTGTTCTCAAACGTATGAAGTTATTTTTATTTATGTCATTTCTGTCTCTAATAAATTTATTTCGTGCTTTATTGAAGGTAATTTTCTCGTTTATGCAGTTTTTATCAAACCATTTAGATTTACGCATGTGCTTTTATTCATTAAGCTTATTTGGTATACTCATCGCAAATAAGTCTTGACCTTTTTTAACTAGAATAGATGAAAATGAATTAATTACAGCGTCTATTGGGTTTGATTCAAGAGCATTGGTTAAATCAATAAATTCGCTTCTGCAATTTTCTAATTCTTTTACATATGCATAATTTTTTGCATTATCCCATAAAATTTTTGTTTGTTTGTTACCAGAAAATGAAGAATTAAAAGTGGTTTCATTGTTTTTCTTACATTTAAGTTCAAAGAACAAGGGCGCATGGTCTGAAAATTCATTAAATGGCATAACTTGAAAGTCAATCAAGGTAGATAAATAAAATAAGTTGGTAGTATTTTTCAGAATAAATGTTTTTTGAATCTTTCATATCTTTATTCGATGTAAATGAAAGATGGTTTCGTGAGTGTTAATGCGATAATTAAGAAGAAATGCATAGAATTTTGAGTTAAAAGGTTTGTATAAATTATGTTTCCAACAATATTTTTTTCAGTTCATTTGAATGTTTTTATTGCATAGTTACGTTCATCAGTATAATTAATTTAATATTTGTTTCGTTTTTTATTAACTTATTTTCAAAGAATATTTACTGTGTAAAAAAGTATTGGAATTTTACTAAGTGTTTGAAAAATTGATAGTGTTTTGTGTTTAATCACTTTATGTCATTATGACTGATAATTGTATTGATTGTGTTAATATTTCAGATACCATCCATTGTTTTGCGAGAATATTATCAAGTAGAAATGAAATTACTCTTTCTGATTTAAGTAAATTTACCAGCATTATTATGTCTAAACCGCCCTATTGAAGATTGTGTCTACCATGTATAGACCCATACTAGGTAGAAGAGAGGCAGAATAAGAAGACGACGAGTGAATTGGTGTTTGTGTGTGATGAACATTGTAGGGGTGTGTGACGAACATTGTAAAACTATACATTGAACATTATAGGACTAAAATTTAAATTGCATTGAACATTGAATTACTATGCCTTGGACATTGTAAAAACAGTAAATTATGCATATGTTGCTTGTTTGTTAATATTGAAAGTTTTTATATAAAATAAATAATAAAAGATATCATCGTTAAACTTTTGTTGTTGTTTTGTTGTTAATTTTTATTGTTTTTCTTGAAAGTGTTTACATTTTAAAGCAAAATAAATAATAAAAAATGGGCCGGGTTGACCAGAAATAACATTGGTTTGGGGCCGGGTTGACCAATTTGGGGCCGGGTTGACTTGGGGCCGGGTTGACTTGTACCGGGTCTTATAATTAGGACTAGGGCTACAACATAATCTGATTGACATGTATATGTTTAACAATGGAAATGTCATGGTATTGAATTGTTCACTTATTAGAGTAGATAGTTTGTAAGTGGCATGATAGAGCGGTTCGTTTGAGTAGCCGCTGTACGGTATTCCGAGGGACCCAGTAGGTGTATATTTTTCTCGCATGGTATATTCTGGTGCCTTATACCTTCATGGTATATAGCTGAGTTCAATTTCACATTGTTGTCTTTACCCATAAGTAGTAGGGGAGTATGTCATGGTATAAAAACTGTTCACTAATACACCAATTGACAGTTTCTGAACTAGCAGACGACAGGCAATTCTTATCAGTGGAATTGCGAGTTGGGTATCTCACTGTATATGTAAAATGGTCTGACTTGTGGTAGGTTTAACCGTAAATTTAAATACCTTGAGTGTCAAACAATGTGTTGAAATATATACTGAGATGAAGCTAAAATCACTAGCTTTTAATTGGTGTAATAAATTTTAAAATCAGACATTAAATCACCCCAAACTAGCAGTTTAAATACGGCTAATTTTGCATTCATGTTGTAGCATTAGAGAAAGCAATTTTACTCGAAGATAAGGGAAACAACTTGTTTTTTATTCACTCGAATTACCTCAGTTATTTACATAGTTCATATAGATACTGTCAATGGGTGTATTTAGGTAGAGAGTAGATTGGTTGAACCATCAATTAAAAGGATTATTCTTTATTTTGTAATGATACTGAGTTTTTTTTATCTACAACTATAGATTTTTGCATTTTTCAGGTTTCAACCGGATGAGGAACTTTCTGATATATTGACAAAACTATGGGAGATGGATGAAAACAAACTGATTCCTGAAAAAGACTTTAGTATTAATCTGCAAAGTAAATATATGTACAGATAGTAGTTTACTTAGGACTTTGTTACTGCTGGCAATGTTTTATGTGTTAAGATACATAATTTTTCCTTGAAAAAATTCTATATTTTTCCTAAACTTTGTTGCTTTTTTTTGCACCTTTCAAAGTGCTCTACAGATTTTCTCTCAAATTTCCCATGTATCATTATATGGTGCTTCTTGCATCCTTTTGTTTTTGTGCCCCCACTATGGTGGGATTTAGATTTACCCTTGTCTCGGTATGTGTCTGTCCGTTCTCATATTGTGTCGCACTTAGCTCAAAAAGAATTTGACCTAGAGTCATGAAACTTTACAGGAATATTGGTCAGCATGTGTAGTTGTGCGCCTGGGTGTTTGTGTATGGATTTATCAGTATTTGTAGAGTTATTGCCCTTGACTTATTAAAATTTTACAATTTTCAATTTGTGTTGTGCATAGCTCAAAAAATATTTGACCTTACCTATAGTCTTAAAACTTTACAGGAATGTTGATCATCATGTGAAGTTGTGCACCTAGTGTTTTGCTTGTGGAATAATTCTGTTTTGTCAAAGTTAAGGCCCTTGACATTAAAAATTTTAATTTTCAATTTGTGGTGCACATAGCTCAAAAAAGTATTTCACTTAGAGTCATGAAACTTTATAGGAATACTTTACAGGAATATTGGTCAGCATGTATTGTTGTGCACCAGGGGTTTTAGTTGTTGATTTTGCCAGTATTTCTAGAGTTATTTTCCTTGAATATTTGCTTGTGGATTTAGTATTTGTAGAGTTTATGCCCTTGACTTAGTGAAACATTTTCAGTTTTCAAGTTGTGTCACATGTAGCCCAAAAGTCAGTAGATTGACAAAACAGTGGAGTGTGGGGCACCCATGTCTTAACGACACATTTCTAGTTCTTACTGCAATTTCATCAGTGGAGATTAAAGTATAAGCCTTTATAACATATATTTAACCAACCACTTATCAAAGCATTACTTTATTATATTAAGTTACACAGATGATTAAAGCTTCCAATTTATGTTGAAAATATTGTGTTCCAGGTAGTGTTTCATTCCATGCCCGCGGAGATCGGTCTAGGTGGCCATTGTTTGATCATTTTGATGAGGAGGGTGTGTTTGCTAAAGGAACATTTGACGGTATACACTTCATACTTCTTTTGATTTCATTTTCTAAATATAACAATGTTATAGAATTTATGTAAGTAAAGTAAGTCCATTTATAGTTTAGTTAATGAAATTCTCTTGGGTTTTTTTCTGTAACTGGCTAAAACTTTGTTATTTATAAATGGATACACTTCATTTATAAATGGATTTTAGCATTGGATTTTAATTTTTTAGCATTTTCAAAACTGTTAAACAATTATGAGATGGAATGTGGTGAAGCTGAAGTTGTGACAAGGGAAGAGATCATGGAGAATAGAACATTTATTAATGCCATCATGGAGACAAAAGTCATGCAGGAATGTCACAAATATCTCATTGCAAAGGGAAAAGCAAAAGAAGACATTGGAGACTTTAAATGTCAACTTTACAATCTGTGGTTTGTGCTCTTTAGAAGAACAAGGGGTGATCGGTAAGTAATTGGAATAAATAACTGTAGATGAAATACAACTTAAAAAATGCAATTTGTTATAATAGTTAAAAACCACTTGGTTGAGAAGTAAATCCTTCATAAGTGCTGAGTACTGCACTATATGTATATTTAAACTTGTTGTTTAAGTAATGAAAGTGTTATATCTTACCCTTAATACATAATGAAGCTCACATGTAAAAAATATGTTGTGATAAAAAATTATAGGAAATATTTTAAATATATAACACCGGCATCATTGTTACTGTAATGTAAAATATATGAAAGTTTATTTAATTTTACCCATGAAATATGGTGCTATATCAGTCAAATATATTTCATATTTTTTAAAAATAAATATGAAATATAAATTTGAAAGTGGGCAGAGTCAAAACTCATAATTATTTTAAGGGACTTTTCGCCATTTTGTTTGAAAAATCTGATAAATTCAAAACAACTTTTTGTTGAATTTTGTTTTGAAAACTATGTAGAATGATAGAAAATGGTCTAACTAAGAAAATAAATCCGAACACCAATATCTTTAATTCAGTCATTAACACTGTACAGACGTTTAAAGAGTTGTTCACGTGACATCACAATGTAGAGCCAAATATTGCATGCAAAGCAAGACGCATGTATAAATAATATGAGCCGTGCCATGACAAAACCAACATAATGGGATTGCAACCAGCCTGGATCCAGACCAGCCTGCACATCCGTGCAGTCTGATCAGTACCATGCTGTTCTCTATCAATTTCTCTACTTGTTATATGGTTTGTCAGCAAACAGCATGAATCCTGATCAGACTGTGCGGATGCACAGGCTGGTCTGGATCCATGCTGGTCGCAAACCCATTATGTTGGTTTTGTAATGGCATGGCTCAATTATATTACTGCGCGCTGTACAATGGCAGCAAGCAAGGGGGTTCTTAACCATTTTTCTTTGATAATGAAATTAAATAAAAAGGTTATTTTTTGGTTTTTCATGAAATATGGAATATATTTTCACTCAACATGATAAAATGCCACATATTTTCACTCGCCATCCCAGCTTGTGAAAATATGTGGCATTTTATCATGTTGAGTGAAAATATATTCCATATTTCATGAAAAACCAAAAAATATCCTCTTATTATTGGATATATTCTATATTAACAGGGATAAGGACTCGAGTAGTTTTGAGCACGTGTTTGTTGGTGAATACAGAGACCAGGAATTTATTGGTCTGCATAATTGGTTACAGATTTATTTGTTGGAAAAGGCTGGAAAGATAGATTATCATGGATACCTAAAAAGGGACACAGTATGTCATTAGTTTATTTGCTGTATATTTGTATTTTCAAACGTTTTATTCATGCACAAAAATTCTGGCACATAATGTTATGTTCCTGGCCATCCATCCGTCTGTCAGAAATTTGGTGTCTGCCCTTTAATATTTGAATTAATGGTAGGAAAGTTGACATTATTTGGCATTAGTATTAATGATAATGAGACAATGTGCTGAGCTTAGTTTTTACATTTGGGTCAAGGTCGTTGGTCATTATGTATAAATTTCAAAATTTTGTGTCCACTATTTATTTTCAACCCTTGGATGAAAATTATAACTATTTTTCAAAAAATGATAATAATGTGAAGAGAGTAGGTTCGGGCTCAAAAATGGCACAATCTGGGGTCACTTATTTAAATAAGAACTTTTTAGGGAAACAAATTTAAGTCCTTTTATTGGAAAATGTAATTCTTAAGCTTAGAAATTTGGCATGTAGCATTGCCTTGTGGGGGGGGGGGGTCCTATATTTATATAGGCCTACATAAAAAGGTACATTTAAGTCTTTCTATGTAAAAGAAAAATATTCAGATCTTAGATATTTGGCATGTAGCATTGTGTAGTAAGTCTCTACAAAGTTACATATGTAGCTTTGCCATAGCAATACATAAATCTTGATAAAAGTCATATGACCCAGGCCCCATGTTCACAAAGATTTAAGGATCAAGATCAGGATCATATTTAAAAACTCAAATAATCCCCATTGTTTATCCTCATAGATTAAATATTTGATATTAACTTGATAAAACTGGACTTGAAAAGCATGTTTATGAAATTTTAGAATATGTTTATTGTTATTTTTGCAGGATACGTCAATTTACAGTTGATCCAAATATTGATCTTGATCCTAAAATTGATCCTTATTTTGATCCAAATACTTTTGTATTTGTTTTGTTATCGTTTGGTTTCTTTGCAAATCAGCAATTTGTTAGGCTTTGAATATTTACCATTTAATTCTAGCAAAATATGATTAATTTTAGTAACAAAGCAATGAAAATAAAATCAGGATCACTTGATCCTGATCCTTTCTTAGTAAACACAGGGCATTGAGTCAAGAATGACAGCCCTATTTAGATCATGTGTTCATAGTATAGTGAAACTTTCTAACTGGTCTCATTGTTGACTTGCAAAATAATTGCAATTATTATTTCACTGTATGAAAATTCCTATTTAAGGTTCAAGTGTCACACTCATGCAAAATGTTTGTTTGAAACTTCACAAATAGTTTTAGGTTCATAATTTTAGGTAAATTTTCATGATCCATAACTTATCATTAGTTTGTGCTGAACTACATGTATACCCTTTTAAGAACATATAAAATTCCTTGCTATTCCATGTTAAGGGTTTTTTGCTGAAGTTTTATCTCAGGAAACATTGGTGGTATTCACTTGAAACAGCATTAATGAGGCCATGATTGAAGGTCAGTAACCATAACTCAGTTTGCACATTTACATTAAAGTTACAATAGTTAGACTGACTGTTTTAAACAGCCTCCTTTGTTGTGTTATTTATAGTGAACTATACTTGCTCAGGTCAACCCACTTTTGTTGATGAACTGTTATGTACCAAATACTTTCAGTTTCATAGCACCATATATCATCAGCTACATATATTTATTATTTGTAGATTAAGGATGATTCAGAACAACGTCTATTAGCACTACAATTTACATATCACGATGAGGAAGATGGTCCTATGGAGAAACCAGTCTGTAGTACATTCCTTGGTACCAGCCCAGAATTTGAAATTGCAGCATACACTATATTATTCTTCACTAAACAGGTAGGCTTTTTATAATTATACGCCCGTTTAAAAAACGGGACGTATTATGGGAACGCCCCTGGCGGGCGGGCGGGCGGGCGGTGTCCAATTTTGTCCGGAGCATATCTCCTACATGTATGGAGGGATTTTTAATGAAACTTCATATAAATGTTCACCACTATGAGGAGCAGTGTCGCGCACATGAACCAGGTCTCTAGGTCAAAGGTCAAGGTCACACTTAGAGCTCATTGAAAAATGCTTGTCCGGAGCAAACTCCACATGTATAGAGGGATTTCAATATTACTTGGCACAAATGTTCACCATTGTGAGGCGGAGTGTCGCGTGCAAGATTCAGGTCCTTGCGGCCAAGGTCAAGGTCACACATAGAGGTCAAAGTTCAGATAAAAATATGAAAGATGTGTATATGGACCATTTAGTCATCATTTATTGAGGATTGTAGCACAAATGGTCATTATCAAGACTATGGCTGTGATACATATAATTTAGGTCAATATATACAAGGTCAAGGTCACTAAAGATGATGAAATATCCAGATTTTGTAAATAGAATTTAATCAAAGGGAGACAACAAAGTTATTACTTGGTTCATAAATGACTTACACAATTACTCCCCTTGATCTATTTTCACTTTCAATTCTAAAAATAGAATTTAATCAAAGGGCATGAAATAATCCTCTTTGAGTATGTTCTAAAGAATGTAACATTTATTTACACATGTTTCATTCATTGGTCAAGATTCTTAACTGTGATAACTATGGTGTTCTGTAGACTTGGTATTTGTTCATAAAGATCATACAGTAATTACCTTATCAAATGTAAATACTTTCTCATAGAAATTTAATTATATTTTAATTTTCAAGTAAATATCAGTTCAGCTCATTCAAAGATAAAGAATTGTAATGAAATGTATTTCCCTAGAATAAAATCTTAAATCAGAATTTTTTAGTTATTAAATTACATGTACTTTTTATACGCCCGTTTAAAAAAAGATAAAAATATGAAGATGTGTATAGGGACGATTTAATCATCATTTATTGAGGGATTGTAACACAAATGGTCATTATAATGACTACGGATGTGACACATGTACTTTAGGTCAATATATGCAAGGTCAAGGTCACTAAAGATGGTGAAATATCCAGATTTTGTCTGGAGCATATATCCTACATGTATGGAAGAATTTTTATAATACTTTATGGAAATGTTCACCACCATGATATGTATTGCTCCATGCATGATCCAGGTCTCCAGGTCAAAGGTCAAGGTCACACTTAGAGCTCATTGAAAAACGCTTGTCCGGAGCAAAACTTCTACATTCATAGGGTTTTTCAATATAACTTGGCACAAATGTTCACCATTGTGAGGCTGAGTGTCGCATGCAAAATTCAGATCCCTGCGACCAAAGTCAAGGTTACATGTAGAGGTCAAAGTTCAGATAAAAATTTGAAGATGGTTATAGGGACCATTTAGTCATCATTTATTGATGGATTGTAGCACAAATGGTAACTATCATGACTACAGGTGTTACACATTTAATTTAGGTTAATATTTGCAAGGTCAAGGTCACTGGAGATGATTAAATATCCAGATGTTGTCCGGAGCATATTTTCTACATGCATGGAGGAATTTTAATGTTACTTTTATAGAATTGTTCACCACCATGAGACGTAGTGCCCTGCACATAAACCAAGTCTCTAGGTCAAAGGTGAAGGTCACAGTTAGAGCTCATAGAAAAACACTTGTCTGGAGCAAAACTTCTACATGCATAGAGGGATTTCAATATAATTTGGCACAAATGTTCATCATTGTGAGGCTGAGTGCCGTGCATAAAATTCAGGTCCCTGCGACCAAGGTCAAGGTCACACATTCTGTGCATATCTTCCCTATTGTTTTGTTTTAAGGTTCATTTAACAACACAGTGCCAAGAATAAAAACTTGCTTGCTAGATAACACTTATCCATAATGCCCCCATCTCCATCTAAAGCTTTTTCGTAAACGGGCGTATTTTGTGACTATGGCACCCTTGTTTTTAAACTTGATTTAATTTTAGTCTGATATTCTTTATTATTCTAGGCTGAAGAAAAGGCTTCAGTGGCCAGGTGATAAAAGTCACTGATTTTGAACCTTTTGCCTCTTACATCTGTGGGTTCTTTCATATGACGAAGCTATCCAGCTAGCTTATAGGAGGTCTGTGGTTCTACGGAAGTGCTAGCTTGTGAAATAATGTATGGAGGGGCACATTAGTTCTTCCTCCACCACTAAAGCAGGGAAGTTGCCATATGACCTTTACAGTGTCTTGGTTCGACTTAAAACCCAACCACAAATAAACAAACAAGATCACTCAAAAGGACATTTTCTTGATCTCTCTTTAAAAAAAATTCTATGAAATTCTCATGAGTGGTTACCAAACCTCAGGGATGTTTGCATAAGTTTTAAATAACAAATATATAATTTATATACACGCATGTTTGGCAGACCATCATAAATCCCATGTTGCCATGATTTCATACATATTATAAGCAATATAAAAATTAAATTTAGTGGTATGTGTTTGTAAATTATTAAGTTTATGATAATATCTTATCAAAGTATTTACTTGCTTTGTTTCAAAGATTTGGTGATATAATTATAATAGTTGTGTGTTGATTGCCATAAACTTATCCCATTGATTAGTTCTTTTCTTCTGTCATTATTTTATTCATTATTTTATTGAAGAAAAACAACTACAATAAATGTTCTGTTATGTTTCAGGGTAAGACAGATGTTCAGCTGGGAGAGTATGAAGTAGAGGTGGCCTGTTATCCCCTGCAGCATCGTTACATAGGAACAGCTTATATAGCTGCTGCCAAGATGTAATAGGCTCACAATAACAGGACATCCTGGATCAAATATGCAAACTCTGTCATCTCTAGTAGTAACTTATATAAGGTTTAAAGGTGTGATATTATACATGTATATAAAGTACTAATATAGAAAACAAAATATTAAAATCTGTTGATTACATATATTATAAAGGATATTTTACACTGAAAGTTTTCTTTTTCCATGGAAACAAGCAGCAATCCGGGGCATTAATGAATGTTATTTATATATTTAAAGATTAAAGGTTGTTGCAAATTTATTTTTGTGAAGAGTTACATAAACGTTTAAACTATCAACGAAATATACTAGTATAAATGTACTTATAAAGTGAACTGTAATGTAATGCAGTAATTCATCTATTTAGCATATATTTTTCCTCTATATAGGACAGGGATATTAAAGTACTTAAATTGGTTAATTTGTTTATCAAATATAAACACAATTGTGAAAAATACTTCAGTCCCATTAATAGTTTGGTTGGAAGAATTATAATAAAAATTGTATGTTAGATATGGTTGGGTGGGGAAAGAAAACATTGTTGAAATTGCGATGCTCAGTGCATAGTTTCATTAAGCAACTGTTTTAAATATCGCGTGAAATATTTATTTATAATTTGTGCCAATATAAAGGTTGTATTTCACAGCATATACAAGGAATTGTAGATTATTGTAAATCTCTTTTAGTGAATTATTTTATATTATCTTGAAGTCTTATATAAAATCAGGTTGATAATTATTATTCTTGTGCAAAGGACTGTTAACACAACTGGAAATATATTCATTCATTATTAACCCTTAACCTGCTAAATTTGTGTAAAAGATTTTTCCCGCTTTAAATTTGGAACAATCCATTTGAAAATTAAGGGATATCAAAATTCTAGCTATCAATATTGTAGAGTCTGGTCAGACGCATAATACTTGACTGGCCTGGCTCTGTACTGGTTGCAAAGGGTAATTCACTCTTATTAGGAGTTAAATATACTTTACCTTGCCTCTGTCATATCTTGCTCAATTATTTTGATATTTTATCATGCTTTTATTATTGTAAACTTTGTAAACAGTTATAAGCCAGGGTATATTACTAGGTTCTTAAAAAAATGATGTTACAGTAGCTATTTTTTTTTTCCTTTCCTGCTTTGTAGATTATTTTTTGTAGCAATTTTGTTGGAGTTTTTTTTTTTAAAGATTTTTCATGAAATTTATGTTCAAGTCTGATGATATATCCTAAAAATTATTGTGTTCCGTAATGAGAAATATCTTAAAAATTATTGTCTTCTGTAATGAGAAATATCCTGAAAATTATTGTGTTCCATAATTGATATATCCTGAAAATTATTTTGTTCTGTAATGAGATATAACCTGAAAATTATTCTGTTCTGTAATGAGATATATCCTGAAAATTATTGTGTTCTGTAATGAGATATATCCTGAAAATTATTGTGTTCTGTAATGAGATATATCCTGAAAATTATTTTGTTCTGTAATGAGATATATCCTGAAAATTATTGTGTTCTGTAATGAGAAATATCCTGAAAATTATTGTCTTCTGTAATGAGAAATATCCTGAAAATTATTGTGTTCCATAATTGATATATCCTGAAAATTATTTTGTTCTGTAATGAGATACATCCTGAAAATTATTGTGTTCTGTAACAAGATATATCCTGAAAATTATTGTGTTCTGTAATGAGATATAACCTGAAAATTATTGTGTTCTGTAATGAAATATAACCTGAAAATTATTGTGTTCTGTAATGAGATACATCCTGAAAATTATTGTGTTCTATAACCAGTTACAGAATAACTTCTAAAAGGAAAATTATTGAACATGAATGAACTGTATTGAAAGTTTTAAGACTGCTATTTTACAGTAATGCATTTACGTACTGTTACACAATGGTGCTTTGTTATGTCAGATTTCTACCTCTGAATCTCATACATGGTTCTTGTTGTCTTTATTTTATGTGTTTCCATTAGAAACTCTTGCTCTGTTTCACTTTTGTTATGGTTTTGTCTTCATTTAGGACTGGGGATTAATTTTATATTCATTTGTTGTTGTTTTTTTCTATCAATGGTGATTGTTTACAGTAGAGTAGAATTAAAGCTATTGTTTTATTTTATCAGCAGGTGCTTATTTTTATTTAGATTTTTTTAATCAAATTTAAACTCTGATTGAACATTATGATTCTTTATAACTATTTAGTTTATGATAATATATATCTATATTGTTAAGACTGCTTCTTAATTTGTCTAACTTGCTTTTAAAAATAAAAATTTGATTTATGTGCAAAAGTACATGCTTAAAATTAGGTAAAAATAATGTAACTACACTATACTTGTCACAGTTGTCGGACAACCAAACACCAATAAGGCAAAAGGGTTTTCTTTTTAACTTGAAATGTTTTTTCTTAGAATCTTGTGTTAGCAATTAAGTTGTGCAATAAATCTTTACAGTGTATGATTTGTTATTATGTTCAATATCATTCAAGGTTATTTGTTGGAATAGACACCAGTTACCTCTTGTGTTAAAATGACTCTAGTAATTACATACCCATATATATGTATATGTGAAGCTTCTTAGAAGATCCTTCATGTCATATAATTTGCTATTGAAAAATGAAAATGAATAAGTAAAAAGACTTTGAAGTGTTTCTGAAAAAGAATGGTAAATTTGTTCCCTCTGTTTTATTTTTGTTTGTTTAAGTTTTAAATATTTCAAAGATGAAAACACATCATGTTTTCTTGTAGGCATTTATTGAAAGTAAAAATTATATTCTTTCTGTATATAAAATCTTGATTGTTTTTTTTTATATGGGTCAGTATTTGTATTTTTCATTGGTCTGTAGAATTGTTCTTGACATTTGTTTTCATTGGTCTGTAGAATGTTAATTGTTGCATTTGAAATTTATATTTGCCAGTGTTTTGTTACTCTTGACTTAAAAATTGTTAAAATAACATAAAGTGACATGTAAATGCTATATTTACCATTATTTTCTTACTGTTAATGTTTTATCTTTATTTTTTACAGAGCACTATATTTTCTATATTTCTTTAAAAAATGTTTACAGTGTACTCAGAGATTGTAAAATACTGTTTTGCATTTACAAGTCATTTTTTATGAAGTTTCATATATGTTATTCAGGGTTTTTATATGAATGAAACTATAAATGCACATTTATAAAACTACATGTATCTGAAACTAGTGGATTTATTTTTGCACAGTACCTTCACTGGTCTTAATAAATAAATTTGCTTGCCAGTTCACATCAATTCTTAAACATTCAAACAACTGTGTATAAAATATTAAGAAAGAAAATTTTATAAACAAAATGGCAGCCAGTTTAGAAATGTGTTTCTGTATACATTGATTTAATTCATAAAGAACGGTGAATTTGAAATGGAGGTTGTTGGTAAGATGCGTATTGATTCAATCTCATTGTTTCACTTTCTTGTCTTCATGCCAAATTGAGTCATACTTTGCATTATGAAAAAACCTTGCATGTTCTATGTTCATTGTACATATATTATTATTCTGGATCCTTTAAGGGAATACAAAGAAAACTCTTATTCATTACTTCCCTTAGAATGCTATGAATAAGAATCTATGAAGATTAGGTTCTTTCTATTTTCACTGTCACCTTGTGCCTGAAATAATGTACGGAGTGCAAGGGAGGCCTACCTACACTAGTTTTGTCTTAAAGTTTCTTTGAATTGTAAAATGCCTCTGGTATCCCAGGAGTCACCAGAGAAGATACTGTATTCCTAGAAATTATTTTGTGCTTTTTGTTACAAAAAAACAACAACAAAACAAAAGCAAAAGTTATATTATCTTTTATTTACAAAAGAAGGTCTTTTGTAGTCAAGTTGTATACATTATTCCTATATTTAAGCTGTAAGCAATTCTAAATAGTCCAAGGACCAGGTGTATGTGTGTATATACAAATACATGTATATATCTCACCAAACTTTCCCCATGCAGTTTTTAACTTGACAGTTTTTAAATTCTGTTCTCTAGTAACTTGATAATACTGATATGTTTATTTTTTCTCTGATATTAATTTTTCTTGCCAATGTAGTCAAACTGTTATATATTCATTTTGTACCATTTTATACACAGGTTGCGGCAATTTACCTAATTAATTTATATATATTTTAGCGTTCATTTTTTGTTACAAAACATATTTTAGAATAAACTTTTGTACACATGTTACAGACTTTGTGTTATAACGCCCAAAGGTGAACTGTAGAGAACATTCATGTGTTATCTTGAGAGAGAAAAAAAACATCATTTAAATGATTTCTCTTGAATCAAATTAAGTATTTTCAGAGAACTTTCTGCTGTATAATCACAGGAAAGTTCTTGTATTTATTCACTGAAACTGACATAGTCCATTCCATCATTACTATGAGAGATGATTGAATAACTCTCCAAACAACATCAGTCTCTTTATAAACCAAGTGATAATTGGTTATCAAACATGTTATACAACCAATTTTTTAACCCATAGGGAATGAGATTTGAAATACTTCAACTGTCTTGAATCGTTAAATCTTGTCCAATTAAATTTGGTACAAAACTAGATGATTCTTTCTCAGCAGGGTTTCCTATACTTGAAATACATGACATTTAAATAAGAACAGCTACTATTATATTGGTATACAGTATATACAAAGATTTTGTAACACTTTTAAACTGTATGTTACCAGTGGGTATAGACATTTAATATTGACATTTTTATACAAGAAAGAAATGCCAGACAATAATGTAAAATAATGAATACTTTATGAAGAAGGAAGTTCATGAAAAGGAAAATCTTCAATGATAAAGATAACAATACTGCTTCATCTGGTAACATAAAAAGTAAACATTCCCAAAAGCAAGCCAAATGGGCAGTAAAATCAATTTAGGCTTATTTTTTAAATAAGTATTGAAAATAACTTAATCAAAATAGTTTTTTTTCTATGAGTTTATTTTATTCACATTTCAGATATGCTTCGATGCTTTCGTCATAATTTTGCATGAACGGTTTTTGTTTTGGCGAAACCTTCCCAGTATACATGCTTCTATAACAATTATCTCTGTAATTTGCCAGCCCCAAACTTTCTTTTCTTACTCTTATCCATTCCATAATGGTTTCTGTATTCTTTGCAACTGTTGGATTATATCCACCAAGTTCTGCTAAGTGACTTATCAAAGCGGTTTGAAATTTAACTACATCTGATTCCGAGGCACAGGCGTTAGCCTTACTATGCCATTCGTCTGCATCTGCCTGCATATGTTTTGAATCCCTCGGTTCACCTTCAAGCTCACCCATGATAAACCTGTAAAATATTAATAAATTTAGTATGTTACTTATTTTAAACTTCTTTCCCATATACATGTATTAACTACCGTCGAAAATTGCTATTTGTGACATCTTAATTATTAACCAGATTTTGGATATTTGTAATATGTTTATTGTAACTTCAGTAACAGCATTTTTGAAGCGTAAAACTCCTTAAAACGATTTGAGCAAATAAATGGAAGCGATCGCATACCAAAACAAACTCACTTGCAAGCCCAGTTTGCAATAACTTCTAGGTAATTGAGAGTATTGAACTGTTCCAGAACACCTACGTATAACAGCCGATTATTTCCTTGACCTAAGAATAAGGCTCCCTTGTAAAGCCCCTTTGGATAGACGTGAGTCTCCTCTGCTATCCGAAATCTGTCTTCCAGGAAAGGGAAATAATTTCTGTAGCCAGTTGTTAAAATGACAGCATCAATGTCGGCAGACGTGCCATCCTTGAAATAAGCTTTGGAAGAATCAAAGCGTTCCACCAAAGGTTTTTCCTCAACACTATCAGGCATTATACATGTTTCGCCTTTAGGACGTGTTCTATGTGAAAGAATCACTCTTTTTGCATCGAATTTAATGCAGTGCAAAACAATATCTTCACCGCTATAACCAGCCCCGACAATCAGAACTTTTTTCTGAGAGAATTCTCGAGCATCACGAAAGTCGTGCGAATGCAAAATACGACCTTGAAAATCATTCAAGCCAGGAAAATCTGGAAGGTTTGGTGCGCTGTATATGCCATTTGCAACAATTACGTGTGAAAAGATTTCTTCTTTAGTTTCACCTGTGTTGTAATCATTTACAGTAACAGTAAATTCCTGTTTGTCGTCGTGGTACTTCACAAAACGGACAGCGGTATTGAATCGTATGTAAGCCTTGAAGTCACGACCGCCTGGTGCACCTCTTGTAAAGCGACCTGAAATTTGAGGAGTTTTATCAAATTTAATAGAAAATATACAATTTCAGAAACTCTATTTGTTTAAACTGAAAAATGAAAAGTCATGATAAACATCATATTAATAATAATCATTATCATCATCACTAGTTATCACTGTCATTGATATTGTCATTATTATCGTTTTATAATTATCATCATTATAATAATGAATTATTTATTCATTATCATACCATGTATATAATAATAAACTACTGTATACAGCTAGTGAGACTTATTCTAAACTGGGACAACTTCAATAAAAGCTAATGTGCCTTTACACATTTAGTATATAAAAATATTCAACATTCTTTTTCACATTTTCTTTCTGAAACATTGGATATTTAGTTTATACTAATTTATTTTCGTTCGATTGTGTTATAAGCTATAATTAAGCATATTGAGACACTCTCTAACCCGTTCCTGGAACCAACAAGTACTAAGCAATGTATGTAAAGTTTCTTGCTCAAGGAAACAACGGCTCATTGGAACCGCTTGGGTTCAAACCCTGTCAGGGGCAAGCCATTGGATATTTGTTGCCATAATCTAAAACAATCACCTTCTAGATAATCCCTCATCACAACACGTGAAGGAAAAGAAGGGGTCGGTTGACCAAAGTGCTGCTCGAAAGTGTAGTCTGGATATTCGTAGGCCTCTTTCATTCCGTTACACCACATATATTTATACATACTCGAATGCACCGGTTCCCCATTCTCGTCTAAACCTGCATGAAGTTCAAACCAATAAATCTGGAGCTAAAACAACAACAACAAAACAAAAACAAACAAAAAAGGAAAAAAGGAGAGATTTATATACATGTACATTGTAAAAAAATGACATGTACTTGTTGAATTTCGGAAATTAAAAACCACTTGTTCTACAGGTGATACCAAATAACGATGCTTAAATTGTTTTACTAAATTGTTATATTGTTAAGAAACACACTGGCCATAGTTTTCACAGACGCGGTGTGTCCATCACAGCGGCGATTGGGCGCTCGTCGCAGAAGCGGTGAATAAATATGGCTTCCAGCTCAATTTTCGATGTCATCGGCAAGTTTAATACCGAGTTTTCTCTATATTTTAACGTTTCACTGAGACAGGCGCCAACATATCCTTACACTTACGCAGTGCAATTCTTTGCCATTTATATAAACACATATCTGTACAGTTTGAGGAGACAACGCCGCTTTGCCGAAATTTGTTTTAAACTAGTACAATTTTGTTCAAAACAACCAATACGGCATCGCATTGTATGTATGATATTTAAACAAGAGAGAATCCCTAAAGAAAATCCAAAAACATTAAAATCGAAAATGCTGATTGAGCGTGTTCATGGACGGTATTGGTAATTGCAAGCTGCGCCATGGTAGTTATTTCCTTAAAATTAAAGCAGCACGCCTCCAGACTCATGTTAATTTTCATGAAAATTTTAGAAATGTATTTGAAAATAAACTATTGTGAAGTATACAAAAATAATAATCTACATATAGCAATCGGCAATTACAATCAAAGAAAAATTCCAAAAAGTGGTCACTATATGCAAATACAGCCCTTACTGCGTTAGTAACGCAGTAGAAATATGGTAATAAAATACAATGTACTGCAATATTAGTCTTAAACCGCACATAACATGTAATATTTAATTTGAATCTTGAATAGTTTGACCTTTCTTAAAATTTTAGTACATTTTTCTCAATGTTGAATTTTCTTGAAATATTTTGGCTCATCTGGAGGCGTGCAGCTTTAAAAGTAAATGACGCGTGCATGAAATCATTGCTCAACTATGATGGCATATCGTATGTTCGCTCCGCGGAACGCCGAACGAAAACACAATAAAGTTTCCTTTTAAAAGGAAAGGCTTGCACAGTTGTGCCTTCATCCCAACCCTTAAAAATTGGGGTTTTTTTGTTTCAATTTATTATCACAATTTTTTGAAATACGGTATTTTACATATATCATAAAGGGTTTATTTAGTGTGTTTTTTGTGAAAACGAATATTTTTTGTCAAAACGATTTGAAATCTATTCTCTATTGTATAAAACTAATAAAGAAAATAATCAATCGTAAAAATACTAACGTGGAGACTGAAGGAAAACAAGTGTGCACATTTCATTTCCACTTTTTTCGCAGAGAAATCATTCGTTTTGGCAGTTGCCAATTTCATTTATATAGCATCTTTATGGACAAGTAAATGCACTAAAATACTTCGTTACGTACCCACTACCAATTAATAAGCATGTAGCCTATCAACTATGTTACACGACCACAGATACGATGCGCTATCTGTAGATCAGCACGTGGTAAGGTTAATGATATACATAGGCTATTTTTAGATTACCTCACCAAGACGTTGAATTGCGTTCATTAGATCTAAATATAACTCGATCATGTGTGATTTTGGTAAGCAGGACCACCCTTTGGAGACGGAATACTACTACAGTAACCATTCTCTATTGTATAAAACTAATACAGACAAAAACAATTATAAAAGAAACTAAACTTTTGCGTCTTGAAAAAAGAATTGAAACGGAACAATTTCGTTTATAATTTATTACGGATCAAGTAAAAAATAGAAATCCTATTTATATAAACAAACTGGGATTACCGAAGTAACTAAAATAGCTTAGATTTCCATAATATTACTTCGTCTGACTTCCGCAGTATGACGGAATCGCCCGAATTGTCACGATTGCAATCGGAACTACCTCGGTTATTATCATTAATTCGAAAGAGTGACGGAAAGGGTCGAAAAAGTTGCGATTGGCACGATTGCAGCTGGTGTGGTCCCGTTCAAACATGCACTCAACAGATGTAAGGGCAGGAAAACCACCTAACGGAGCAAAAGTTTTTCCAAATTAAATGGCTTGCAGCCGTGGCTGCAAGCCAAAAATACTAAACAAAAAGTCACCATTTTTGCCAGTTACTTTTTCCGCAACTTTGACGTTATTTCTCGAGTTCTCGCCTTTTCCCGGTTAAAACGAGGACCAGGGAAATCACTAACCCTTTAATGGTATTCCTTTCGAGGCGGAAACAACACGAAAACACGGAAATTCACCACTTTGGTCGAACACCTGGCGCACCGCGGGATGGGCGAAGTAATAAAATATTCACTTTTCGTATTCACTTTGGTTCGGGGTTTTTTTTCGAAATGGCAACAAATCAGCCACAATACTAAAACAGATAAACTTCTTTATGTTTTACGTACAATTTTTTCCGTGGTAATGTTACATAACTCTTTCGAGGAAATTTTGAACCCAAATTATAATTTTTACTGCTTTTGATAAATTTTTATAAAAAAATTTAAAAAGATTTTTCCTTTTATTAACCCCCTTTTTTCACCGGTTAAACGAGAAAATAAAGGACGAAAAAGAATTTTGAAAAAAAGGTTTAACAGATTATAGATTTTAAATTAACTTTTCCCTTGGGCAATTTAAAAAACCCGTTAAAGTTTTGTTTTTATTTTTCAAACCTTTAAAACCAACTTAAAAAGATGGGCGTTCAGAGTCGTAAATTTTGATATTTAACAAGTTAAAAGAATCAAGGAAAAACATGGCTTCAAAAAATTTTTTAAAAAAATTTTTGGTTTTTTGAAAAACAATTTTACCCAAACCCATTTGTTTCGATCAAGCACCAAAGGGTTCAAGGAAACCCGGTTTTATTTTGGGGAGAAGTACCTTTAACAAAGGGGAATAAAGGGGGACACCCCTTTTTTTAAAAAATTTGGTTTCTATCTCTTTATTCATGCAAAGTTTAAGAAGTCCTGCTCTTAAAAATGCACTGCTCTACTAGGAAACATCTTTACAGAGGAACCTCAAAATCAGAGTTTCACAGGAAATACAGTGATAGAGGGCGGCGCCGGGAACTTAAGTTTTTGCCCTGCTTTACTCTTTGGAATGACGTTTTTTATCTTTATTGCTCCGCATACCTGTCTGCCAGCAAAAATTGCAAATTAAGCTAGTATTACAAAAACGTTTAGAAAAGTTTCAATTCTCTCCGAGAATTCTTTCTCCAAGAAAAGTTTTGCAAAATTTTTAGACAGTTTCTTGCTCTACAATTTTTTTTTATTTCTTTAATTCAAATAAACAATTAACGACTCTATTGAAAATAACAGCATAAAATGTTTTGCGCTGCTCCATATTTATCGAGCTGCACATTGTACTTTATTGTATTAGATCTACACATATAATCAATATGTCGGGGAAAAATGGCAAATTGAGTTTAAACATAGGTCAATATTAAACATCAAGTTACATGTACTTATGAATGCTGGCCATCATTTACCATCTTTAAGGACGTAGATATCTGTCGCAAGATATTTTACACACAATTATTTATTTTTTCTGGCATCAAGGAACACGTAAAATAATGAACCAAGGAATCATTCAAAATTGAAAAGTAGGGGCCTACGTACCTGTTTTTTCCATTGAAATGTTCCATTGACCTCCCCAAGTGCTCTGCTTCTCAAAACATACTACCTCCGGCATATTCTTCATCCTGGCAAAATGATGTAGTGTCGACATTCCGGACGGTCCTGCACCAATTACACAAATTCTTATTCCAGACATTTTGAAATTTATTTCAAAAATCACGTCTGCAGTTTTTTAAGTCACAATCAAAGCTTCGCAGGGTAGGAACTGTTACGTAATAGATGGAATTCTTTTCATACCTTGCAGGTTTACTTTTGATAAAATGCGCGCGGAAAACGTCACGGAGTTTCTTCTGCTATTATTCTAACAGTCTTCAAAATTATTTAGGAATGAATTGAGAATATTATTGTACAGTTAATATGATTACGATACAATACCAAATAATACGTTATTTTGTTTTTTGTTTGTTTGTTGTGGGTTTTACGTCACACCGACACAGTATAGGTCATTTGGCGACGTTCCAGCTTTACTGGTGGAGGAAGACTTCACGTGCACTTCAGTGCATTATTTAATACAGGCACGAACGAGTACCTGAGTAGAACCACCGACGTTCCGTAAACTAGCTGGATAGCTTCCTCACATGAAAGAATCCTAAGTCCCTGTCGGGGATTCGAACCCACAGCGGTGAGGGGCAAGTGATTTGAAGCCACTCGGCCACGGACGCCCCAATACGTGATTTAAATCAAATTTAAATCAAAAAAGTAATTTAGTCTCTAATAGTCAGTGCGACAATTCTCACATCAGTAAATTATCAAAATCGTAAGCTTAAAGTATTCACCAATGTTTTTTTCATTTCTTCTTTAAAATGTCAAGCAACCTATTTTTATGTTAAAACTAACCCGACTTTTCATAGATAATTCTGGCTTTTTTAA